CAAAAACGGAAAGGTATTCGGAATCTATGAGAACACAAAACCCGTACTCTTTCTGTCGGATCCCGATTTGATTCGCGATGTTTTGGTCAAAGACTTTCATGTGTTTCATAACCGCAGGGTATGTCGTCTTTGTATTATATTGTATTTATCGATACAATAATCATGAAGTGAATGTTCAAGGTAGTTTTATGAATTTTATGTGTTTTAGAATTAGATAAAATTACATTAAACTGTATTATTATTGTATTTTCATTTAATATACAAAAAATATTTTGTTTAGCAAGTCCAAATTAATTTTTTTTATATTAAACAAATCATAATAGGATTATCAGCGCATAAAAGTAATTTTAAGCTAATATAAATAATAGCAATTATATTATTAATAATCATGAATGTAGTAATAAGAAAATTATAATATATACAGAAATATATAAATTATAACTGTAAAATCTTTAGTTATATAATATACAACGGTAAAATATATTTTATTTTAAATATTATACTACATTATATGGTATAATTAGTTAATATAAATTTGGTTTTCATACGGTATTAATATGCATTATATTTTAAAATTAAATAGCTATACATTTATAAACAGTAATTTTATTAAAATTATATTTACATTTCTAAGTAGGCATTTTACTAAGTTGTCAAAATAATTTTTAAAATAATTTAACATTTTCGTGAAAATATTAGGACGTCCGTACGGGTGCCGACCCACTGGTGGATAATATGGTGCACATGACCCGCGATGACCAGTGGAGACGAATCCGGACAGCCATGTCACCTACATTTGCAACAGGGAAACTTAAGAAAATGTTACCACAAATAGTGGACTGTCGAAACACCTTGCACCAAAATCTGGACCAAATGTTCACAAAACTCCCCAACAATACCGAAATGGATGTCAAACGCGTGATCGGCGCCTACGCCATGGAAGTCATAATTCGTGTCAACTTTGGGGTCAAAGTGTCGGGCCTTTCGGACGACACAAACCCTATACTAATGAATGCGAGAAAAATATTTCACAAGAATATGCCGTTGAAGTTATGGGTCTTACATATAGCACCCAAACTCGGAAAGTACCTCAAAATTGAGATCTTTGACACAAATGTCACCACTTTTATCATCCCTTTCCTCACTATCC